AGCCCAGGAGCTGGAGGTTGCTGTGAGCTGTAATGCCACGGCACTCTGCCCAGGGGGACAGCTTGAGGCTCTGTCTCAAAAAAAAAAAAAGAATAAAATAAAACATGGCCTGAGGTTCCCGGGCTAGCTCAGTGCTTGTTTTCATTCTGCCCTTTGGAACCCACACTGAGTCAGGTGCAGGTCAACTAGAATTGTGTTTTCCAGCCCTGCAAGGCAAAACAGTGTCCCTAGGAAGCAGCTGTCAGGATTAGAATAAATGCATCCTAAAATCAGATGGAGTCTTTCTTCAACTCTCTGAATGGTGATTACAACTACCCCACACCCCAAATCTGTATCTCAAATTCTCATCAAGTAAATAGATTCTTTTCTAATTTTTTTTTTTCTTTTTTGGTGCCACAGACAGACTGTATTTTGAATTCAGGAAGACATTTAGCAGGATATCTTAGGTTCTTACACGAATGTGATGACAGCGTGGTTATTCTGCCTACCTACAGCCACTTCAGCCTTTTCTTTTGGGAGGAGTATTTTTTTTATTGTGATAATATGATACATGAGACTTACCATTTTAACCACTGTTAGTGTATAATGTAGAGGCCTCATGTACACCTGCAAACATTTTAAAATGAGATAATTCTGGTAGCCCACAACATAAAGTATGATTAGAGCCTCCCTTTCTTTCACTCCATCCTGTAATATTTATCTTCCATGCTCCGGGAGGATTTTGTTAAGGAGCCACCTTTGTTATGTACCCTGAAGAGAGGCCTTTCTCTTCTAGCACCCAAAGAACACACAAGGTGGCTTGGCCAATTTATCAAAGCTATTTTCCTGATATATACAGATTAAAAACAAACAAAAGCTGGTTACTTAGAACTTGGCTATGCCCTACCAAACAGGATTGGCCTTTCTTCCTTACCACCCTTGTTTTAAAAGAGAAAAAGTTAAATCAGAAAATTAGTAAAACAAAGGCCCTCTGCAACCTCAGGCTCAGTTATCAGAACAGAATTGTGGTTGCCAAGGAAAGGGGGACAGACATGTATGGAGAACTCTCAGGAGGTCAGTGCCAAGCAACATAAGTATCATTATCTTGTCAAATGTTATTCATCGTGTATCTGTTCTATCAGACATGCCTGTGTTCTGTGACCTTGGACAAGACACTGCCAAAGAGCTGTTTTGAGGGCAAACAAAACAGCACCTGTCAAAGTCTCTCACCCCTTGTCAGGGGTGTTGTGAGGACAAGATGAATGTTCTTTCCTGCCTTACACTGGCCCTTCTTACTGTGGAGGTTCCTACTGCCTCACGGTCAGATTCTCCCTGATTTGCGCTTGCCTCATTTAGAGCTGGTCAGTCTGCCCCCCTGGGCACAGAGCTTGCCACTGCACTGTTTAGAATCTGGGAATCCTAGGAGTTTGAAGCTCTTGCTTTGTTTCTCTCAAAATATGAAAAAAAAATAGAGACAGCCATTAAGTGTTTGCAGACTAGAACCCCATCTTAAGAACTGGGACATACCAGGTTCATCTACCGCGGGTGGGAACCTGCAGCCTTCTGAGTTCACCACGATTTGTTCTTCTTTAAACAGCTTCATCTTTTTCTGCTGCATGCTTGCCTTTTTTTTTTTTCTTTTTGAGACAAAGTCTCACTATGTCACCCTCAGTAGAGTGCTGTGGCACAGCGCACAGCAACTCAAACTCTTGGGCTTAAGTGATTCTCTTCCCTCACCCTCCCAAGTAGCTGGGACTACAGGTGCCTGCCACAACACCCTGCTATTTTTTGGTTGCAGTTGTCATTATTGTTTAGCAGGCCCCGGCTGGGTTCGAACCCGCCAGCCTCAGTGCATGTGGCTAGAACCCTACTCACTGAGCTACGGGTGCTGAGCCAGCTGCACTCTTTCTAATAAAAGGACTTGTTCTATAAAACTTGGATTTAGTGAAAGGCCGAACTTATGGACCTAGAAGACCACCTGTGGCCTTTGCCACAGGTCCAGCCACCAACACATAAGTCCGTTCATGATGCTGGGGCAGGTGCCCATCTCTCTGCCAAACCCTTCCCCTCATCAGAAAAGCTCATCCTCTCACAAGGTAAAAGCTCATCATTTTGCCCCTTCCAGATCTTGGCAACAATGACTGCTAGTTACTTGCCATGATATGAGTATTTTTGTCCCTCTAGAATTCATATGTTGAAACATAATCACCAATATGATATTATTAAGAGGTGGGGCCTATAGGACGTGATAAGGTCACGAGGCCAGAGCCCTCATAGAAAAGAGGCCTGATGGTGCTTGCTGACCCTTTCACAGTATTAAAGATGCAGGAAAAAGGCACCATCTTTGATGCAGAGCGAGCCCTCACCAGATGTCAAATCTACCAGTGCGTCTCCAGAACTATGAACAAAATATTTCCACTGTTTATAAATTATTCAGCCTATGCTAGCAGCAGTATCTCAGGCCTATAATCCCAGAACTTTGAGAGGCTAAGGCAGAAGAATCACTCGAGGCCAGAGACCAGCCTAGACAACACAGTGAGACCTGCTCTATAAACGGTAGCCCCCCCAAAAAATTAGTCAGGTGTGGTGGTGTGCACCTGTGGTCCCAACCACTTGGAGGCTGAGGTGGGAGGATCTTTTGAGCCCAGGAGTATGAGGTTACAGCAAGCTATGGTGACACCACTGCACTCCAGGCTGGGCAGCAGAGTGAGATCCTGTTACTATTAAAAAACAAATAAAGGGGCGGCGCCTGTGGCTCAAGGATAGGGCACCAGCCCCATACACCAGGGTTGGCGGGTTCAAGCCCAGCCCTGGCCAAAACTGCAAGTAAAATAAAATAAAATAAACTTAAAAAAAAATAAAAAACAAATAAAGAGCTAGGCATGGTGTTTCATGCCTGTAATCTTAGCATTCTCGGACACTGAGGTGGGTGGATTGCTTGAGCACACAAGTTCAACACCAGTCTGAGTGACAGCAAGACCTAACTCTATTAAACACAGAAAAATTGCTGGGCGCAGTGGCTCACACCTGTAATCACAGCCTCACACTCTGGGAGGCCGAGGTGGTGGATTACCTAAGCTCATGAGTTTGAGATCAGCCTGAGCCAGAGTGAGACCTTGTCTCTAAGAAAATAGCCACAATCATTGGCAGGTGCCTGAAGGTGCCAGCTACTTGGGAGGCTAGGGCAAGAGAATTGTGTAAGCCCAAGAGTTTGAGGTTGCTGTGAGCTATGAAGTCACAGCACTCTACTGAGGGCAATAAAGTGGGACTCTGTCTCAAAAAAATAAAATAAAATAAAATAAAAATGGAAAAATTTTCCAGACATTGTGGCAGGTGCCGGTAATTTCAGCCACTTGGGATGCTGGGCCAAGAGGATCACTTGAGCCCAAGAGTTTTAGGTTGCCGTAAGCTATGATGACACCACAGCACTCTACCCAGGGGGACACAGTGAGATTCTATTTCAAAAATAAATAAAATACACACTGATTATAAACTATATCCCAATTTCATAATTGCTAAAAATGTGTAAAATGTGTCTCACAATTGAAATGATCTGATGATATTTCCTTGCCAATTTTTTTTTTAAGACAGGGTCTCTCTTTGTTAACTTTGGTAGAGTGCTGTGGCATCATAGCTCACAGCAATTTCTAACTCTTGGGCTGAAGAGATCCTCTTGCCTCAGCTTCCCAAATAGCTGGGACTACAGGTGCCTTCCACAATGCCCGGCTATTTTTAGAGTCGGGGTCTTGCTCTTGCTTAGGCTGGTCTCAAACTCCTGAACTCAAGTAATCTGCCCCCCTCAGCCTCCCAGAGTGCAAGGATTACAGGCATAAGCCACTAAGCCTGGCTATCCTTGCAATTATTAATGGGAATTGTTGTTTTCAAAAGGCTAACTTTGGAAGTATTAATGTGCAAAAAATGGTGTCCGCTATTTATTTTATTTATTTACTATTGATCTTATTTTGTCACTTATTTTAACCCGTTCAACTAGAATTTGTATGAATTACTTCATGGGCTGAAGATTTTCTTCCCTAAAAGCATGCCAAACAGGCTTCAGAATGCAAATAGGCATGGTTTCTACTGGCCTATGTAGTGAACACCTTGTGTTAATATTGTATGTGAATGGGAGTAATAAAATGTTAAAGATTACAAATGCTCAAAGCACATCCATCTATGGACCTTGAAAGTATTTGGGATTATTTTTAATCCCCTGAGAGTCAGCAACATTATAGGACCATCTTGGGGAGGAGGGACCCAGCTGGAGACAGGACCCCACCTTCACAGAGAGTTACTATTTTCTATGTCACAGATCTCGAGCCAAGGACAGTGCATTGTCTGCCCAGTGGTTTTCTCGTTCCTGGACAGCGAGGGAGCTTCTAGACTCAGCTGGAATTGCCTAGCTCTTCTGCATGTTCTGGTTGAGAGTGTGAAGCAGCCAGGACATACAGAGTGAAGCTGGCAGAGAGGAAAACAACAAATTCTCCAAAGGCAGAGTGACCGCGTCCCAGGGAGGGGCGTGCAGGGCCGGGCTCTACTTACTGTCTTCCGGCAGGCTGTTTTCCCGTTCTTCCCTCTCCATCTGCTGGCACCACCCTTCCATCCGCTCTCGCTCTGCTTGGAGAAGCTTCAGAAACCAGTGGCCGTCCCTGTGGCACACTGACCTCTGCACGGCCTCCAGAGGGTCTTCCGTGATAGAGTCAATCCAGGGGTCCGGAGGGGGCAGAATAGAGGGGTCAAAATCCGCGTCAAAGTCATCGTCGGCTGCACAGGCATGGTAATGGTTTCCTGAGCCCTGAATGCTGACCGTGGAGGTGCTGGCATCCCGGGAGAACTGCCTGGCCATTGGGCCAGTACATGAATTGTCCTCTATAGATTCCAGGGAATTTTCCAGATTATCATGGAAGTCCAGGTCAGCCTGTACTGCTGTCGTCACACTGTTGGATCTCGTGAACCTGCGGAAGCTTGGGAGGATAGGAGAAGGAGATTTAGTTCAAGGATAGTTGGGGAAGCACATAAACTATATTCTACTTTTCTTGGTGGGTGTGACAGTGGGGTCTTATCTTCTCAGTGTGTGTGTGTGTGTGTGTGCGTGTGTGTGTCTGTGTTGGGGGGACCCTTGTTGGAAGTGTACTGATTGCCATCACTCTGATGTGCACACAGAACACAGTCTCTCATCTTTGTCCAAAGTGGAGTAATAGTAAAGTGCATCTGGAGAGAATTCACAGGTGGGACAAAGCACAGCGCTACCAAGCTGGCAGAATGTCCAATGTGCAATTCCTTCCCCAAGTCTGGGGTGACTCATGTCCTGAAATTCAGTCTGGCTATAGGTATGGAAACAATTCAATTATATCTTAGTCTGGGTAATTTGCTTAGAAATATGGGAAAAATCACAGCCTAACCTGGACCAAGACTATCAGGAATCCTGCAAAGCTACATTTTTCCAAGGGCAGCTCTTCTTACAAGTAGGACTTCCTGAAAGCAAACTAAAGTTTTAATAGATTCCTGTAATTGAAAACTCCTTTTCCTGGTAAGGATTTTCCTGTCTCTTAGTTATAGAGTTCATCATTATAATTTGGCTCAAAGTTTGTAGGGCAAATATCAGCTTACAGTTCCAGAGTTCTCCATTACTGCCCTCCGTGTGCCTTTAACTTTCCTTTTCACTGCTCTTCACAGTGAGATGATAAAGGACGCCTTGCTCACACCTGAACATTTTATGTGAATATCCACAGGATCAATGTGTCCCAGCCAGAGTCCCATGGACCTCAGGCTGAACCCTAGAACCAAGGTGGGGAACCACATGAAGTAGGGGGTGCTGAAGAGCAACGGATTCTTTGTAAGACAAGGGTCAAGGAAGGGGTGGGCCTGAAATAATTTAAAACACACAAAAAAGAGCTTCACTGGCCTCTGAGGAGTCAGGGAACAATGACAGAAAATGCAAGTCCCCTCAAGGCAGAGTTCTGTACTTTTTTTTTTAATGTCACTTTCTGGCCTAATATTTTGTTTATTTTTTATTGTGATAAAATATACATAACATAAAATTGAGGCATGTGCAGTGGCTCACACCTGTAATTCCAGCACTCTGGGAGGCCACGCAGGTAGATCACTGAGCTCAAAGAAAAGAACTAGCCGGGCGTTGTGGCAGCATCTGTAGTCCTAGCTACTTGGGAGGCTGACACAGTAGGATCGCTTGAGCCCAAGAGATTGAGGTTGCGTGAGCTATGGCACCACAGTACTCTACCCAGGTGACAGAGTGAGACTTGGTCTCAAAAAAAGGAGAAGAAGAAGAAAGGGAGGAAAGGACAGGTGCAGTGGGTCGTGCCTATAATCCTAGTACTCTGGTGGGCTGAGGCTGGTGGATTGCTTGAGCTCAGGAGTTTGAGCCTGAGCAAGAGTGAGACCCCATCTCGAAAAATAGTCAGGCATTGTGGCGGGTGCCTGTAGTCCCAGCTACTTGGGAGGCTGAAGCAAGAGGATCTCTTCAGCCCAAGAGTTTGAGGTTGCTGTGAGCAATGATACCATGGCACTTACCAAGGGTGATAAAGCAAGACTCTCTCAAAAAAAAGAAAAAACATAATGTATGTAATTAATCCACTAAACCATACACTCAATAATGAATGCTTAAGTTAGTAAATTTTATTTTCATTTTGAGAAAAGAGTCTCACTCAGCTATTTTTTTTTTTCTTATTTTTAGTCGAGACAGGGATCTCATCCTTGCTCAGGCTGGTCTCAAACTCCTGAGCTCAAGCAATTCACCTACCTCAGCCTCCCAAAGTGTGAAGATTAGAGGGGTGAGCCACCACACCCAGCTATTATGTTTTTTTTTTTTTTTTTTTTTGCAGTTTTTGGCTGGGGCTGGGTTTGAACCTGCCACCTCCGGCATATGAGGCCGGTGCCCTACTCCTTTGAGCCACAGGCACTGCCCCACTATTATGTTTTTTCTTAATTATTCTCGACCTCACTATTAAAGCCAATCAAAACTAATAACTGTGGTCCATCAAAAAGAAAGAAAGACTAGAAGAACACAGGTAAGTAGTTATTTACAAGACTGTAGAAAGACCAAGAGTCACAAAAAGAAATATAATAATCTCAATGGATCCATTTTTTCCCCTAGAGAATAACTGTCAAGAAAAAACCATAGCTGCAGTACTGATCTGCGTTATTTACCAGGAGGATCAAAATGATCAAATGTGCTGTGATTCTGATCGTTCAGTTTATGAAGATAAGCCAGCCCAAGGTGGCCCATTTAACCATTTGCTGTTTTTAAGAAATCACTTCTCTGGCAGTATTAGCACTAGTCACTTTTGTTAGTTCTTTAACTCTCAAATGGGTCCCTCCCTACCAAAAAAAAAAAAAAAAAAATCCCATAGTATGAAAGTCTGAAGGCAACATTACAAGTGTCTTGTACTAGCAGAAAAAGGAAGAACAATTTTGCCAGAGTGATCCTTCCAACAGCCACTCATTTCTTGGCGGCAGTAGGTTAGCTCTGCATTCTTCCCGTTCATTCCCCAAATGTTAAATGTCATCTCCTGAAGCTAAGCTTTCTCTCCAGCTGCATATGTGTGAATTGGATGACTCTCCTTGCAACAGTTGACATTTTGGCTGTTCTACTAACATGAAACCCCAGCTATGAAAACATTAGCCTCCGCTCTCCAAGATCACGGATTGCCAGAGGCATTACATTTCCAAACTTAAAGAAGTACTAGTCCCTTATTGTTTTCGATTGGAGAAAACCTGCCAGAGACGGAATCTGTTCCACATATAAAGCAGAATGACCTACTTTCCTGTGCTTCTGTTTTTATCTACACAGAACTGTACTACCAGCATTCCTGACGGCCGTCTCCTGGCTATGGCTCTTGTAAAGTATCTACCTTCTTAAGAAAAATTACTTGGCAGAAGATTAATAGAAGTTTGCAGTTTAGTCATCCAGAAAGAAATAAAAGTTAAGTAAAATTAAAATGGTTTGGGATTAAAAGCGGTGCCTTTGAACTCAGGCAGCCTCTGTCCAAGCTGCTAGTTTCTATCAATTAAGTTCCTTAAGTAAGTGCTTTCTTCTGCTTGGAGCTTTCAAAGAATGTTCTGCTCTACAAAACATTTCATGTCTTTCATGTGCAAAGTTCCTTCTGGGTGAAGAGTGCAGTCAAGTTGTTATTGTTGTTTTAAAATTTTGATAGGAACACAGAAGGAGGTCCCTAGATTAATTCTTATATTTTTAAAAAGAATTGATAAGTTGCCGGTTGATGGTATAAACCTAAAAGCTGAACCCAGTGGCTTGCTTTTTCCAAACCCACAATTTCCAGCCTTCGAAAAGTTTCTTTGGTCCTTCATGCCCTGAGGGCACCATGTATAATAATTACAACTTCTGAAAAATGCAGGCCACTATTCTGGCCCAAGGAGCAGAAAACCATGACGCTAAAGGACTGGATCAACCAGTATGGAACCCAACACCCCACCTGCTCTGAACGGCCAGAGAAAAGCCATTTGTTAGCGTTCCCCTCTGCTGTTGCTTTTATGTTCCTTCTGTGAAAGAAGTCTGTATTTCTTTCTTTCTTTTTCTTTTTTTTTTGAAAGACAGTCTCACTCTGTCACCCTGGGTAGAATGCTATGGCATCAAACAGCAAGCTCAAACTCTTGGGCTCAAGTTATCCTCTTGCCTCAGGCTCCCGAGTAGCTGGGACTACAGGCACACACCATGATGCCCAGCTAGTTTTTTTATTTTTAGTAGAGACAGGGGTCTCACTCTTGCTCAGGCTGGTCTCAAACTCCCGAGCTCAAGCAAGCAACCCTCCTTGGCCTCCCAGAGTGCAAAGATTACAGGCCTGAGCCACTTCTCCCAGCCCCACTTTGTATTTCTAATTAGAGGATTTTTCTACTCCACTCCATCCCTCACACCTTTTCTGTACAGCAGGTTACAAATCAACATATAGGTGGGTAAATTGCAGAGGTCCGTTCTTGCCCCACCCTGTCATGAATAAAAACCAAGCACCAGTGGTGCCTGTGGCTCAAGTGGCTAAGGCACCAGCCACATACACCTGAGCTGGCTGGTTTGAATCCAGCCCAGGCCTGCCAAACAACAATGACAACTACAACCAAAAAGTAGCTGGGCATTGTGGTGCGTGCCTGTAGTCCCAGCTACTCGGGAGGCTAAGGCAAGAGAATCCGGTAAGCCCAGGAGTTGGAGGTTGCTGTGAGCTGTGATGCTATAGCACTCTACCCAGCTTGAGGCTCGGTCTCAAAAAAACAAAAACAAAAACAAAAACTCAAGCACAGTCAGTGCATTTATAACATACATGCTTTGGATGTGCAGGGCATCCAACCAGTAAGACTCAAGTCATAAACTTGATTTAAGGAGACGAATTCGCTCACCCAGTCACAGAATCCTCCAGCCTCTTGGTTTTTTCTTTATCGCTCTCATTCACATAATGGTTGCTTTTCAGAGTTAAATCTAGTTTCAAAGGCGGGAAATGCTAGTCTTGGGCTGATTTTTCTTTCTTTGTAGGCGCCTTTAGACATTTTTGACTAGGCCTTCTGTCAAGGCTGAACGTGTGCAGGATCTGGAAATGCTACTCCCTGAAAGTGCAACCGTCTTGGTATTTCGTGAAATGGCACGCTGCAACTGACTTACAACCCAAGATGTCTCATTCTACAAAATAAAACATAGATCAAAGGAAGCATGGGGTGGGGAGACTGAGAGCAAGAACTAAAACTTCCCCAAAGAGATTTGCTCTGTGTAGCCAGATCAGCTTCTAACTTGGAGGAACATGGGTGTGAGGCGACCCTTATCCAAAAATTCAGTTGGAAGGGAGATCTCTTTAAGCAAAGGAAATCAGAGAGAAATACATATAGATTCTTTCTATCCCAAATATGCATGGGAGAAATCTTGAAGATCTCTTTAAGCAAAGGAAAATCAGAGAGAGATACATATAGATTCTTTCTATCCCAAATATGCATGACGTATTTGTCA